TTTTTTTTCTGAAGCATTGTGCTTGAAATGTTTTTCTCTAATTTTAACAGCATCAAAGACTTATATGTGAAAAAAAGCCGAAAAATATAGAGAAAGTGAAAAACTTACAGGTGTGTTCCCAACAGCAACTCCATACTTGTTAGCAGCATTAACATCAACATTGTTATAGCCAACAGCCATGTTACTGAAAGCTTTGCCTCCTGCTTTGCTCAGTGCTGAGAACAAGGTCTCTCCCCAATCCTCTGTCAACTGAAAATCAAAAATCGCAACCCCAACTCAACCACTTAGAATAAAAAAAGGGAAATTCAAAAATAAGTCCCTCGAAACTCTCTTCCATGGTTAAAAACACAATATGGAAGAAGGAAGCCCTCGACTCAACTGTTATTGCATGTGACTATTAGTTCCCCATGCATTATATATTGCTACGTGACTGCGTTTTTTATGTAGTTTGATTCTTGAAGTGTTTTCCGCGAAAAAGAAAGAATAGTTTAAGATTTTACCTGCCCAATAACTCCATCACACTTATCTCCAATCAAAGCAATGATATCCTCAACAGACAGAATTGTTTTCTTTTGGGTGCATATCTAAACACACAAAAAATGAACATTTTCTCATCAAACTCACAGAAAAAAGGTCCAAAATCCAAAAACAAAATTTATTAAAAAAAACATGAATATTACTTCAACTCTGCAATCTTGCTCGATTAAGAGATTGATCCAGCGATTCCTGGCATGGGTTTTGTGCTGACAACTCTGTATTTCCCATTGGGATTCCAAACTTCAATTGAAACTGGTTTTGCAATTGAAAATCTTTGTCAGCAGCTCGAAGGGTATGCTGCTGACTGTGGAAGCGCAGAGAGCTCTTTAAAAATTTCTGGTTCCAACTGTGGTGAAATGGTATGGTGTGGTGTGGTGCACAATAAGGTGTATGTCTTCACCAGTAGGGTTGCTTAAGGACGCTGACTGTTGACTTTGTGATGTAGTGGACCCCTATCGATTAAGGGATGCAGTTTTAGATGGTGGCTTGGTGGATTGTTGTGAATTTTTTCTGCATAGGATGCGATAAGAGTGTTTTTTTTTTTTTTTTTTGAGAGGTGGAGGTGAGATGGAGAGGGCAGAGGGGTTGGACCTCTCGTTGTGAATAAGATAATGGTGACATAACCCTTTTGCCATTTGTTTGTTTTGTATAGGTGATTTGGGGCACACCAATTTTCCCTTGGATATACACTTATTAGATTGAATGAATCAAAGTTCACGAATTATTCGAGAACACAAATAAATAAGATTGTGCAAAACGAAAAAAAAGAGTGTCCTAATACATTCATCGAATGGGCTTTGACGTCGAAGTTAATTGTTTTGATGATATTATGAGAGGATAGTTTGAGGCTTGAGCTTCTAAATGATAATAATGCATAATTTCGATATCCCACGATATGCCTACTTATTTTGAATGGAGGAAATAGTGAATGCCTAAGGGTTGCTAATGCATATTGACGAATTCCACACCTGCATCGGCCTTTCATGGATGGTGTTTTTGGATGATAGAACTCCATTGATCGTTAGCGGTGTACGATTGAATTTAAAAAAGCATAGGAGCAATTAGACGGCAAAAGACCCACTTAAATGAAGAGCAGAATTAAAACAGATACAGATCAAAGTGAATATACAAAGCGTAACAAACATTTTGTTCATTGTCTGGAATGAATTTATCATGAAAGTGGATCTTAGGACCAATGCAACCTCTAATGGGCCTTGATGGAAATCTCAAACACCTCAAGTATGACTCAAATCGCAAATATAATGCGTGTGATTACCTTTCTCTCTAAATAAAGCTCACTTAATGTAGTCTCCAAACTTGAGTTTGGTGAACTTAGACTTGGGCCCAAATCTCAAACATAACCACACTTGGGTTGGGTTGGGTTGAACCAGAGGTTCCAAAACTTTGGCAATCAAATCTCCGCAAAAAAAACAAAACAGATGGATATTCTCAAATATCCTCCAAAATTTTCTCACTTGGTGTCTGGCCTTATGAAGCAAATATAAACACAAGGTGAGTAGGAAGCCACACTCACATTGTTGTTGACCCCAACTTCTTTGCTTTTAGTGGCCAAAATTGGTTTTTGTAAGTGCGTGTGGTGTGCAGAAGCAAGCATGAGGCTTGAATGTGTAGGAGTGAGTACCAAACGTGCTTTTGAACGACTTCATCCATTTGTAATTTGAAGCTCTTAGTGCTAACTTATCCTTTGAGCATTTAATACTCTCAACAACGTCTAGAAAAAAGTCCAAACCTCACCATATCCACCACCAAACTTGGACCAACATATATACCTACCCACTAGTGATTTATATTTTTTTAACAAATGATATTATCTACGTTAAGGGATGGGAAAGTGGGCTAAGCCTTATAATGAGTCAACCATAATATGTAGTTCATATTCACCTTTGGCAATAATCGAAGATAAGTCCTCTCACTTACAAGTAAAGAGAATACTTTAGACCGTAGTACTAAGTGGCACTAATGATTTATACTTGAATACTTACATTTTAACATCGTATCAAAGTTAAATTATCAAAATGTCATGTGAAACCATACTCATGCTCATATGAAACTTAATATATGTCACATGTTGAATAATGAATGTTTTACATTAGTGCTTAAAATTTTCTAAACTTGTTTCTTACTCATAGATTTTTAATTTATTCTAATAATAATAACAAACAAAAGGATTTTTATTGAAATGGTTTATGAGATTAATCAACTTATCATCTTGTCTCTCACTTTTATTTGATCAATGTTTTCCTTGGTTTTTTAAAAAGATTAATAATATGATTGATTCAGTCAATCTTAAAGGTCATTTACGATAAAAGCGTTTCTATTCGATAGGCCATAAATTGTGTGGTAGAAGAGTGTGTCTATCGGAATGAAGGTGGAGAGAGTGGGAAGGCTACTAAATATGAGCAATGGACGGCACGATGAGTTTTTGACCGTGTCAACTATCAAAGCGGAAAGCGGAAAGCGGAAAGGGAAAGGAAGAAATAAGGTATCGTGACGGATGCTAGCATTTCTATTCGTTGAAAGGGGTGTGGTGGACAAAATGTGGCCATAAGATTTGTCTTACAATTTTATTCCATGAAGAATTAGAGTACCAAACCATAACAACTTAATCACATTTTGTTTTTATTATATAGTCTGCTTCTTAGACCATCCATCCAATATTGGTTCATACATACGGTTGCTTTCCATTCTTGAATTTATTTAATGGATATCAATTAGCTCTTATTTAATGATATCTTCTTAACGTCTATAGAAGTCTTAGTATTACGGTCTAGTGACATTCTTTCACTTGTGCATGAGAAGTCTTAAGTTCGTTTCTCTCCAAAGACAAATTTGAATCACATAATTGCTAGCCAATTATGAAGTTTAAACTACTCTCTCATTCATCCCTTAGTGTAAATACTATCATTTGTCAAAAAAAATAAAAAAAGAAGAGCTTGTTAAAATCCGAATTCAAACCTAAACACTAAGTTCATATTAAATTCAAAAATGATATTCTTCTCACATTTTTCTTACTACACTTGTACCACTTTTTTAATAGAGGCGAAACTCACATGTGCCGTTGGACTCTAACTTCATTAGAGAGGTAGTACAAATGTGGCATGAAAAAATGTTGTAAATGTAGAATACTATATTCGATTTCCTCTAATACGACTAAAAATTGTAATTACACACTAAAATTTCTTCCTTTTATTAGTCTACACTATATTAATCTAATCATAAAAAAGACATTTAAACTTTTTTTAATAAACGATATCATTTACACGCAGATGAGATAGAAAACATTTGTATTACTAGATAGATAGAGTTCCACTTCTCTAAATTACTTTTTAAACTTTGTCATTTTATCTTCATTTTTTTAATAAATGAATAAACATAATGTTGATGTGGTTGGGCAACTATTTTGTCGGTTTAAGAGAATCAGGTCACCACATTTTGGAAATTCAACCTCCTTATCAACTTTTTTTTTTTTTTTTTTTTTAAGAAAAACTAATTTAAAGGGTTTGAAAGCTTTAAGTTTTAATGATAAGAACAAAATTTTTTTAAGAAAAACTAATTTAAAGGGTTTGAAAGCTTTGAGTTTTAATGATAAGAACAAAATAAAGGGTAAAGTGAATAGTATTAGCATTGATTTTTTAGTATAAAAATGTAGTTTTTTTTATTAAAATGAACAATACCGAAGCTTTTTGTTAAAAATCTTTTTTTTTAATTCATCATTCGGTCCTAATTTAGAATTTAGGCGCTCATTTGGCTTTTTTTTTTTTTTTTTTTTTTTTGTTCAAAGCGTTCATTTGTTGATTAATGATTAAATAGAACGTATAAATAAGATTGCGGAGAATTTAAACGTTCATTTATTGATGAATGCTTAGATAAAACGTACAAGTACGTAAAGAAGATAGCGGAGAAATTAAAGGAAGAATTCTCTACCTATCTAATCTCTTAACCCTTCCATGTCTTTTTATTTGAACGGCCACGGTTAAGCCACGTCAATATCTTATATTGATTTTTTTATAGAGATAATAAGACAAAAAGCAACGTGTAAGAGCAGGGGATGAGAATAGGAGAGTAGAGAATTCTCCTCCGAATTTAAATGCTCATTTATGTAAAGAAGATTGCGGGAAGTGAATTTTGTAACTGAATTGACCCAAAAATCTGCTAAAAATACCAAATAATTATGGTCATCGGTGTGAAAAAAAGAGTAATGCTACACTTAGAATTTATTTGTATTATCATCATTTATATTATCTCTCTAATAAAGATAGGGCACACCAATTCATGTGGGTTTCACTGATACAAAAAAGTGATAATAGTAGCATTTTTGTGAAGGAAATGGTGTGCTAATTGACTAAAAATATTCATTATTTATTATTTATTTTCCGTACAGCATTAAAAATATTATTTTCAGTTAAGTTAAAACTTCTGGGTACCCAGCCAGAGCTTATCTTCACTTCTACTTCTTCACCACAACCCCTCTCTCTCTCTCTCTACAAATTTTTTGCCTCCAAAATCAAAATCCCTAGACAGAAAATAGAAAGAGGCAGAGAGAAAGCGGGAGAGAGAGAGGGAGAGAGAAGCCATGGAAAGGCTTCTATCCTCTTCATCCCCAACCCTTTTGAAACTCCATCTCAAACCCTCTCCTCTCCTTAATCGACCCGCCCTTATTGACTCGGCCAAACTCGGTTTTCCCGCTTCACAGTTGCCCAATTTCAGACGGGTCGGCTTGGTTTCCTGCAAACATCAAAACCCATCTCCATTTTCTTCTGGTTCTCATTCTTCATCAGCGCCGTGCAACATTCTTCCGTCTCTATCGTCGAACCAGGCCGGGTCGCCAAATGGGTCGGAGCCAAAATCCCAGATTCTCAATCAGATTGCAACCGGGGTTCCTAAGCAGCGCAAGGTACTTTAATCTCTTGTTTCAAATGAAAGAAATTGATCAAAAGATGATAATTTTGATTTTTTGTCTAATTCTGTGGGGTTTATGTTTTGTTGTTGCTGCTTTAATCATGTTAATAAGTGTCTTTCCTGTGCTGCAATTTCCACGGTGACTTTGAAAATCTGAACAATTGTTTCGATGGCTGATGAAATATTTGATTGTTTTCTACCCGGTCGTTTTGTGATCCAATGCAATTTATGGTTGCCCTCTAGAAATGCGATTATCTTCATAATTTAGAGTTTGAGGCTAATTATATGAGGTGGATGACTGAAACAGTTGCTTCATTTGTTATACTATATCTCTTTCAAAAATTTTATGACTGAATCAGTTGCCTTCGGTGATTCTAATTGCGAAGGTTTAGATTACCGATTAATTTAATTTTATGGTCTTCAAGGAGAATGCCCTCAAGTGTGGTCCTATCAATACCTTTCATTTTTGAGGCAGTTGGAAAATGAAATGGTACCCAAGTCACTTGTGTAGATAATTCCTCTGATGTGCCTTTAGATGGCTACAAGCATCCAGTTATTCCAACATAAAGCTAAATCTCTGTGCTTTCCGAAAACTGAGCATAGCTTTAGTCAGCATGGTACTGGAGACCTAAGTCTGAAACTTGTCTCACTAATTACAAACAGCAAGGGCCTCAGAAGAAAGGAACAAATTTAAGGAAACCCATAGATGCAGGCGATTTAATAGGTATAGGTAGCTTCGTTTGATGCTTCAGTGGCATCAAAACTTACACACATTATATTAGCAATATTCAGTCTAGTGCGGTCTAGGTGTTTTTCTGCTTGTGTCAGAAGCTTTCTTTAAGGTAATGTGAACCTAGTTCAATAGTTATTTCAGGGGTGGATGTAATTTACCGATTCTTTTGCAAATGTCATCACTTTTGTATTCTGAAGTATTCTATCCCTTGTAGTAAGACTGCAAGGGTGCATTAAGATTTTTATGTTTTCAAATGGTTGATTAGGGTAAAGTGAGAAAATTTGAGTGCAGGGTGTTCATGTTTCAGATTTTCTACCATTTTTCAGATTTCATACATTTATTCAATAGTTTAAAAAATAATTGCTATTTGTAAGCAAATATCTTGAAATTGGATGAATCTTTGCACACACACAATAGCTTAGATGAGATACTGTTGAAGCTGCCAGCAATTCGACTGTTCATGTATGTGTTGGATTTTAGTATGGAGTCTGTATGATATGAAACATAGATTGGAGTAGGGACATCACATGGGAGATGACATTTTTCTGTTTGGTTTACAATTACTATCTGCTGTTACTACTTTCAACGTAACAGGATTAATTTTACTGATATTTACTTCAGAAAGTGTAGGGGGTATGCAACTCCCCAGCTACCTTATCACCCTCAACATGAGACTATTAATCCATTTATTTTGACCAGATGACTTACTTTTAATACTCCTAACATCTTCAGGCTATCCCCACCAAAGCATTCGTTGTGCTTTCTGCTCTTGTTTTGATCTTAATACAACCAGCTTTTGCACCAGCCGCTTTTGCATCCTTTGAAACTGCAACCAACACTGGTAGCCCAGCTGTTGCTATTGGGGGAAGACTGATCCAGACAGAGTTGCTTAGTAGTGCATGGACTGGTTTATTTGCCGGTTGCTTACACACATTATCAGGGCCAGACCACCTAGCTGCTTTGGCTCCACTCTCAATTGGACGTACCCGCATTGAAAGTGCCTTAGTGGGAGCCCTCTGGGGATGTGGCCATGATGCTGGTCAGGTTATCTTTGGCTTAATATTTTTACTACTAAAGGATCGGCTTCATATTGAGATTATCCGAACTTGGGGCACGAGAGTTGTGGGCCTTACCCTACTAGTCATTGGTGGTATGGGTATTAAGGAAGCTTCAGAAGTCCCAACTCCTTGTGTTGCCTTAGAGAATGGCGAGTGTGATGTTAGCGTATACGAGTCTCTAGATAACCCCACAGTTGGGAAGAAGAAGATTGGTTTTGCTACTTTTGCCACTGGAATTGTCCACGGGCTGCAGCCAGATGCATTGATGATGGTCTTGCCAGCCCTCGCTTTGCCATCTCGAGTTGCTGGCGCTGCATTCCTGGTTATGTTTTTAGTTGGGACCGTAGTTGCAATGGGAAGCTATACTGTCTTTATAGGTTCATGTAGTCAGGCATTAAAGGATCGAGTGCCCAGGATTACAGAGAAACTGACATGGGCTTCTTCCCTGATTGCAATTGCTCTTGGGTTCGCCATCATCATCAGCCAGTTCTTCGGGTATAGCCTGTATTAGATTTTTGACCCGGTAAAGACAACGTTTTGCAGGCTTCTCCGCGGGTGTTAGATAAAGATCTTACAAGGATTATTCGATTTGTTTAGAGCAAAAGTTCGTCTGGCGCAGCACCTTTTCTCAGCGAGAGTACCGTCGTATTTCGTTTTGAAAGCTTTTTCCAGTTTTAATAGAGGGTAAGCCTTCTACAAATGTAATTCTTTTATGGTAGAAGTCAGATTGGCATAAAGATTTTCGTTTGCTTTAAGTTAAATCGTTAACCTTTGTCTAGACAAATTGTTCTATTTCGTTGCACCAGTTCATATCAGTTATCGATTACGGGATTATAAATTCTGCATCTGGTTTTCGTTCGTTAGCTCTTGGTATGCTCCTTGGAACTGGATTTTTAGTCTTACTTTCACTCCGTATCTCAAATTGTTTCATTTTTGTTCGCTAGTTTTTGCTACGCTCCTGTAACTCAATTTTCATCCTTCATTGCCTGCATTCTGTCAACTCGGTTTAAGTAAGCATCAATTTTGCTCATGTGGAAGAAGGATGGGCCCATTTGTTGCTGACGCGTCAGCCAATGCATTGCCATATAACTCACTCTGCGTCCAATGGGCGACGAAGATGAGAAACTGATCCTCGCCATTTTTGTCAAAGCCGAACATTCAGATGGCTCTGGTTCGGTTGATAATTTTGGGGTTGAACCGAGTCAAACCGAATCATGCCCACCCCTACTACTGCCTATGATGATAGTCATGTCTAATACAGTTTCTTTCGAAACGTAAGTCAGATGAGTGCAGAGCGCTGGCAATGCGTATCAAAATTCAAATCTTTTCATCATCATCATTGCAATTACAAAGTAGTTTGCAGAGTGGATTCACATCGTACAACAGACTAATTAGAACATGAAACATACGAAATAGGAAATAGGGCGGAAAACTTGACAAGATAAGGAAAATGCCCTTTTTTTTTTTCTTTTAATGTTAAGAAAAGACGTCCATTTGTCTAATTTTTGTGTAGTTAACTTCGGGAAAAAAGTACAAATCAGCAAAAGAAAAGAAATTACAAGGCATTCTCATCCGCTGCAGCAGCATATTTCGACGTGAACCGAGCAGGAAGCTGAATGTAGAATGCGCCTCCGGTCATAGAAGTTGATGTGCATTAGGGGCTTTGCTTTTTGTTGATATCATGAAGCACACACACATCTGCTGCTGTCTTCAACTGAAATCATGAAATATATTTTAAAAATAGGAAGAATATCTTCCAAGAAGACTCGATCTTGAAAACACTGATTACCTAGATACATGATAACTTCAAAAGACTATTTAGAAGACACTCCATGAAAACTCAACTACGCGTGACCAAAGCCTGTAGGCTTTTTAATAATAGTGGTATGTGACATTAGAGCTCTCGAATTATCAATTACGACCTTCCGCTCTCATCCAAGTCCCTAACCAAATTCAGTTACAACTAATACAGATTAAGTTTTGCATTCAAGAACTGTGATGAAAGTGTAGGATGTACGGAAACCACATACACCCTAGTATGTGTCTGTCGTTGCTGAGGACATCCCCCAAGAGGAAAATTTCAGTAAGTTATAATGCCTAACACTATAGAAGTGGCATTCATTACCTGTATAAGATTCACTGCTTGTTTGACTGCCCATCCAAATAAACTCAAACCAACTAGAACAGAAAGTGGTGTAATATGCTTTGCAAGCCCCGTTAAAACCTGAAAGAGGAAAATTTTAGAAACCAAAGTAACTCGGAAACATCCTGTTTAATTCCTTAAAAACTACAACACTTACATCAATCAAGTTCTCAGTTTCGTTCTTTGCAAGAAGAAATAGAATTATATAAAGGACCTGCACAGTAACAGTCAAATTAAGAGGACTAGCAGGCTACATTAAGCAATTTCTACAGCCCTATACACAGAAAAAAGTTGCAATTACCTCACATGCCACACAACAGTAAGCCATAAACATCCGATTTCCGTAGTATGCTTTAAAAAGCCAATTAGTGCTGTCTTTCACATCTTTGTGACTAGCCTTGCCTAACAGAAAAGTACTGGAAAAAAAATGTAATAAACTGTTAACAAGTGAAATTTTGTCAAAAATCAAATAACGAAATACTATGCACCCTGAAGATAAACTTAATAAAAAGAAAAGAAAATAACCTGTACATCTGCAGCCAGTGGCTACCAATATCTAAGGCAAGTAATGAGAGGAAAACCAAGCCAGGCCTGCATTGAAAGCCCACCATAAGCTAAGATAAGCATGCAGATCTATTTAATAACATGTAGCCTATTAATAAAATATCTTACCGGTAAACTTGTGAAAGTACTACCAAGAGACATGCAGTGCTTATCCTGAGAGACAAGACATAGTAGTCAATATGATGATGGTCAATACTAGATCATTTGAGGAAAACCTGAAACTAGCATATGCTTCTTGTGCACATCCATGTGTTTGTGTGTGCCTGTGTCCAAGAAGTATTTAATGAATGGGATAGTCAAATTTTGGGCAATGCTCTGGGCTTCTTTAGAGATTCATTATTTTATCTTAATGTGGACCGGAGGATGCTGCGGTTAATTCAGTTGTTAGAGTTTGAGGGTTTTCTGTTGGCTGATGGAACGTTGATACTTGCTAATCTGAATGTACTGCAGATCCACTGTGATGTATTTTCAGTGACTACTCTGGTTGTACACTGTTTAGTTTATTTCAATCAAGTTTTTAAGTTTTTTAAGTTTAAAAGAGAAAGAAGAGAGATCAAAGATCACCTGTCTGTTACCATGTCCAAAACAGCTCCAAAGGTAGAAACTGAACCAGGAAGATGAATCAAATGAGTAATATAATGATCAATTACCAATTTCGGTTCATAATAGGTAGTAAGATAATTGGATCAAAATTTTCATGCAAAAGAACTCTTCCTTGCTGTCAATCAGGGAACAAAAAGAAAACAAAGACAGCACCTCAGTACTGTAATTATTACTAGAATAAAAAGGCTTCTACAAATACTATACAGCAACCTCTAATATGAGGCCACAGACAAATTATTCATGATGTTTTGATATCAGTATTATCTGGCTCTAAATAACAGCATAGCTGGAACATAATCCAAGTCAGAAAAACTATGTACAGTGAGAAGTATGAGCCGCAATATAATCCTGATCGATTTGTATTAAAAAATCTGTTATTCATAATCATTTTGTAAGATAAACCCTATGCTCAGTATCTGTATCAAAGTACAACATTTTGTTTGTACAAGCGTGTATATGCACAAACGACATACTCCTCAATAAAAGACATATCACAAGATACACAGAATCTCATACCTTGGTTGAATTTGCGAGCACACCAACCATCTACCCCATCGCAGACAAAGCTGGAATAGCAAACTTAATCATACATTATAGCCAACAAGACAAGATGAACAAAATACGGCTCAGAAACCAAGGTTGCATTTGAATTGTGGCTTTGAATTGAGAGTTTCCAGTCAATGATTTAGTTTAAACTCTGTTTGCATCAAATATTTAGAGAAGAAAACACACGATTAAATGAATTCTTCGACAATTTATGTTAAACTCTGTTTGCAGATCACTTCTTCCAAATCCACAAATCCAAACACGAGATGAATGAATTCTTCAAAAGCACGAATCCTCACCTGACGAAATAGAGAACAGAGAAAAGCTTCTTGTTGGAGAAACATTGGGCAAAGGCAAAACAGTTCATAAGAACCCTTATGTACCCTGCATTCCCAGTAATCGCAAAATCATTTATCAAAACAAAAACCCATTTCTAGCTAACTTGACAATGTAGTTTCATAGTACCATCTCTGTTTAGGAAGTGAAAAACTCACCAATAATGTTGGGTATGTAAAGATAGACATCGAGTTTCGTTAGCCTTCGTTGAGCTACAGATTTCTTAGCCATTGGAGAACTACCTTAATCAACTTGAAATTACACGAAATGCATTGGATTATCGAATAAATGTTTGCCCCTACACCCAAATCGTCAAAACAAAGCACAAATTATGCATAAAAATACACACTAATCACCTTAACTAGCTGAATTGAGGCATAAGATAGCAGTTAGAGAATAAAGAATCAGAATTTCATTGTGGAAATGGCAAGGAACGAGAAGTGAATCAATACCTTCTGGGGTTTCTCCTTCGGACTCGGCGGCGGAGTTTACAATATAATCACTGCAAGCCCTAACCCTAAAACACCGAATCCGAATCCGATTCCCCTTTCTCTCTGAGTCTCTCTCGACAAGCAAAAGCCCTAATTGAAATGAAGTATGGAGGTCGATAACTCGGATACTTGGCTTGCCCGCATCAACTTCGGATCCGATCACCGCTTTTGCAACCGGCTTCGATTCGATTATTGTAAGAAGAAAGTGTTTGCCTTGGTTTCTCCTTTTTCTTTTTTTTTTCTTTTCTTTTTTACTAAAAATTTACTATTATTAGGAGATAACGTAAATTATTACAATAATTTAAAGAAGCAAAATTTCAAACTCTCTACAAATTGGTAGGAACCCAACATTTTTAAGGCATGGTTGGGATTAAAAGGGTTTTTCTTTTACTAGGAAAACGTGTTTAGTAACTTTATTTGTTACTCGTCGTGTTAATCATTTTTATGTTCTTTTTGCCCAAATGTTATTCATTTTTATTTTATAAGTTAGATTTCGCGTTTGATAAAAAGATATAAACTTAAAATTTGAATAAAAGTTAGAAATTTTAAATTGAGTGATCAATTCTCTTTCTTGAATTTATAATTTTAGGAATTTATAATTTTTGTGCGCAAATTTATAAAACTTGGAATTTAAAAAGAACAATTCCCAATTTGAAATTTTATGTAAATAATTGTCATTTATAATTTTCACAAAAGAGAGTTTATTATTTTCCATTCATAGATTGACACATATAACTGAAATTTATTATGGTTTCATAATAGCCAAAAAAGAAACTTCATAATTTTTAGGAAATTAAATTTTATCATTTAAATTTCATGATTTTGATTTTCCTTAATATATTTTCTCATTCAAACATAAGGTTAGGTTTACTTCTAGTATATGATGAGTTCCATAACAATTTATTATAGCTGACACATTCTTTGATTTAGCTCAAAGCTCTCTCTCTCTAATGTACTTACATCATTGTATCAAAAAATACATTGGCTTATTTGTGATTGCTTATGAACTAAAAGTGAGAAAATTCTAAAATTCTAGAATTACTTCTAGTTAGTAGAAGCTATTTCAGAATAATAATTTGTTAGATGCTTTTTCAAAATCACTTTCAAATGCCATTTCTGAAAACTTTTCATTTTTAATAAAATTTTAATATGTTTATAATAAATGTACTTCCACGAGAAA